TGATGTTATATACTTCTTGGTAATAACATTGTAAACAGTCAGAGAATGCTGTGATCAAAACTACTTTGACTTAGTTTGGTACTCATACTCTGATTAACTGTACAATACACCACAGTCTTCCTTTAAAATATCTAGAATATGATTTTTGCAAGACATGCAGATTGCAAGATAGAAAACAAATTCAGGTTTATTCATATATTAGTATTTGTTTTATTACTTATGTAATTTATGTTGTTTTAATTATTATTTTTAAATGGTTTTTTTACTGTCTATTGACTGTACAGGTATGCGTACCAGAGTAATAAGTAGTTTCAGAATGCACAATGTAGTGCATATACATATGTGCATTGGCAAAAAAGAATGCAAATTAATGCCAGTTGAAATGTATTTATCATACTTTTTCCTTTTTTGAAACTTTTCAGGATATATGAAAAAGCATAAAAGGTGTTCATATTGTAATGATAAATATGGGTTAAGGCAGGTTTAAAATTAAGGATTGAAATATGTAACCTGACTACTTTTATGCCTAATCTTACCATGCAGCTTTCTACTGAGTGACCATTATGTTGGGGGAAAAAAAATGGATGTATTTTCCCAATTTAATTTATTTACAAAGGTTATTGAGGTATTATTCTAATAGTTTGTCACATCTGAGAAAGGTTTCCCTAATACTTATGGATTTTCTTTTAGCACTTTTCAAGCTACTGGTAAGCAGTCCCTACCTAGATCTCATACCTAAATAATCTATCTTTGAGGAATATTGCCTGATACTTTGACATTACTTACAGCATGACTAAAGCAAAAAACAAAAACAAAAACTCGTACTCGATTTTACTGTAAAAATTGTCATATCTGCTATAAGTAGTTAGCTCACATCATTCTGATATATAAAATGCCAGTGAAAAGAACTGATAATTTTTTCCCCTTATTTTTGTGTGATGAAAAACTGGCAATTCAAACTTGAAATTCTGCTACATGTTTCTCTCTGGGACAGTAGTTTGCCCTTGTAGTTCACAATTCAAAGTACTTCTGTCTGTCAGGATTTACTGTCTTAAGGTTGAGGAGACTGCTATAATGGAAACTGCTAGCAACTTGCATCATCTTGAAGCATGCATTATAACAGGTACTGATTTAGATTGTAGTAAGAGAAATACCTATTAAGTAAACAGTAGCAGAAGACAAAATAAATAGACTATTTTAGAAAATCCACTTGATAAGAGTTAGTTTTGTAGACTGATAACACTGTACTATAGTTATTCCAGAAATTCTGAAATTCTATGCAAGAGATTACATGATACACCTTGCAATCTCTAGAGAGAAAGCGGAAGATTTATGCACATTTCAACAGCATTGACTGCTATTTGTGGATGTTTTTGTGTATTCTTGGCCACAAATATTGTTCTTGGTTGGTATTTGCACACAGTGTTGCATGCTTAATGTTAATTCCATTTCTAAACATATAAGTATCAGTAAAGTAAAGCTATTATTATGGAATTTTATTTTCAGAAGCTAAAATTTTCTAGCTCATCTGAAGGAAGTACAGTTAATTTAGCTCTCTTTGGAGAAGAAAAAGCAGAGACTGAACCAGAGCAAGCATTAGAGCCACAGGCATGTTTTACAGAAGGTACGTTTTACAGAAGGTATGGAAAGAAAATTTGGGGTTAGCAATTACATTTGAGTTATCTGCAACAAGCACTGGCAGTGTTTAAATTAAGCTAAGCTTCAGGGAAGCTTTGCTACAGCAGTCCCAGATCCTAGACTGTCAGTTCTTATGATTTGATTAATTTGGCCCATTATAGATAGTTGTACTGAATTCCATGAAACCATTTGTGTGGTAAAAATTTAAGTATGTGTGTACATGTTAATTAATAGTATTTTAAGTAAACACTAGATACTATTCCATAAACTTTTCCTCAGAGACGAGTAATCCTGTTGATGTAATTGACATGTTCTCAGTGGTGAAATCTGCAAGATCAAACCCTAGACCAGGTTCATTCCACTTAAATGGAGCTACCCACTTGAGAAGCTTACATCAGAATCATGATTACCCATCGTCCCTTTGTGGCATTAGAAAGCTATCCAGGGGATGACTTGGATCCTGGGAGGGCTGAATCAAACAACAGAGTGGTTATCTTGAAGTTACATGGATCATATTGACAGGGGGCCCATAAGTATAATGTGGGATGCCACAAGTAAAATTAAATAGGATAACGGAGAGTCAGCATCTTTATTCTAGTAGAGAAGTCCAAGAGCATACTTGCATGTGTTTAGAAGATTCCATTGGTTTTAGTTCTGCATAACTGTATTCTTTTGCGGAATTACAGTATAGGAATGTTTTCCGTTTTTATGTTATCACAGATTGTTATCTTCCTTTTAAGTCATGGTTAACAGAAAATCATTCAAAACAGAAATGATCCAGGGTTAACCCTCCCACCCCTGTCATAGCTTTATCAGCCATGCTTTTTTCTTCATAGAAAAATCCTTATTTGACTCATTTTTGAAAACAAAAATTATTTGGCAATATGGTGTTGTTTTCAAGCTCTTGATCAAAATTTTGCACTTTTGAGTAATTTCACATTATATTAGAGTTCTTCCCTCTCCTTATAATGTGTGATGTCTATTACTCTTGAGCACAGGGTTGATTTTTCAGTTATCCATGCGTTTTGAGTAACTGAAGGTGAGGTAGATCATGCTCTTCGTCACAGTGGTAGTAGTTTTATCTGAGCTGATGAAACACAGTATAACTAACATGTAACACGTGAAGTCAATGACACTTACCAGAAAACTAGAATATTGCCTTTGGGACCCCTTGCAATCATTTAAACTTTGTTATGTTTCCAAATGATTAGTCCATATGAATATGACTAATCCTTTTTAAAGAAATAAGGAGACTGCTATTCGTCAGGTGAATGTTGAGGCTCTTGGGCTCTCCTAGATACTGAAATCCATGCAGGTAAATCCTTGGGGCCTTGTAGTGAGGTAGAGAGCTCTCCAAGGTGGACCTGAATTCTGTGGGTGGTTACCATAGCTCTGTACCACGTGGAAAAATTTCTCTCTGTTACAATTAGAATACACTGTTATTTTATTGCTGTATTCATTTGGGGAATAATTGCATTTTCTTGAAATTATCTTGAATCAATGAAAATATAAATTGCAGTAAATATAAATTATTACAAAGTAATATATTTGCATCCAGATTAAATATTGGCATTGAAACTGTAGCTGGAATGTGTTGTACTCTGTTAAATTCCATACAACTCTCTTTTCCTTTATTTGGTACTTATTTTGACTTTTTTTTTTACTTATTGCTCGTGTAATTTCTTATATCAATTCAAGAAGAGATTTTCAATTTTAAGGGAAAAAAGCCCTATTGGATGATAAAGATGACAGTTCTTTACTGTATTAGCTTGACCAGGAATCTGAAACTTTGTAGCATCTAGATTATCTCTCGAAGTTCAATTAAATCAGTTGTTAAAATTGTAATTAGCGATTCGTGAAAGAAGTAACCTTAGTCAAATCAAAAGCAGAGCTCATTCTTCAGTGTAATAAAGGGTGTTTACATTTGTGCAGTTTATTTGAACTTAGGTTAGAGACAAAAGTCCTTTTAAAGGAGACTGCTAAACTCTTGAAGTAGTTCATGTTCTTTATTTCTACCTCCTGACAGTTCTTCTGTGTTTTTGTTTCTCTGTATAGATGAAAAGTGTATTTGTAAAAATATGTTTGGAAACGGTTTGTAAACTGTTTTTTTTTTTTGTTTATTTTTTTATTCTAGCCTCGATATAGTGTTAGAGCAGTAGAAAAATTATCCAACTGCAAGTTTTCCAAGGCTAGAGAATCAAATCAGAAAGGCTATTGGTAACATGCGGTAATGTGACTCATGAAGCAAGAGCAAGTTAACACTACTTTTACTATTTTAGAATACTGAAAATTCTATCACATAATAAATTGTAATTTTTTGTATTGTTAGGTTGTGTACAGAAGTTTAAATGCTGTAAAGTCAGCGTAGAAAGTGCAAAAGGAAAAATCTGGTGGAACCTTAGAAAAACCTGTTACAGGATAGTAGAGCACAACTGGTTTGAAACATTCATTGTCTTCATGATTCTCCTCAGCAGTGGTACTCTGGTAAGTAGAGCATACTCCTGTAGAAGCAGCGCTTTTAAAAATCATTTTATCAAGTATATGCTTATAATACAGCTGTGTTCACTAGGAAACAGTTTCAGTGTTGCTTTGAAGGAGAGCCTGAACTGAGTTCGAGAATATTTTAGGTAGTGCATATAAAATAGTCATTAAAACTCTAATGTCAAATTACATTCTGCAGATCGTTTTTCGATGAATAAGAGGTGATATGTATGTGTGAGGGAGCTATGGAGGAGGACTACTTTTAAAATCATGTTTAAGTAATTATAAAAACATGCAAAATGAATTGTATGTATTAACTGGAAGTTATTCTACTGTAAATTAAAATTGTCCCCAAAAGCAGTACAGATAATGAATTCTTTCTGTTCTCGATTTGTTTTCTGCTTTAGTTTTAGTTTGTCAGTATTTCTAGACTGTTATACAGGAATCCTTGAATTCCTTTATGCTGTTCATATTGAAGTTTAGTCATTCATACAGCTGCTCAGTATTGGGTTCTTTTTGGTTGCCTCTTGCCCTAGGATTTGGTTGTGGAATGTGATTTCATTATTCAGCTTGGTTCAGAAGCAGTGAGAGAAAGCAACTGTAGTTATACAGCAAGTATATAACTTGTGTCATAAATTTGCAAACCTGTGTGCGTGTGTATACTGAGTCATTTTACATGCCTCTTGCAGTATGTAGTCAGTACTTCCGTTATGTCACCATTAAGAGTCTCAACAAGGTTTGGCCTTTGGTTGTTGGAAGGTTGTGAAAAGCAAGAAATAGGTGTTCCTTTCATCATTGTACAAATTCTCCTGTGCCTATAATAATTTTGTGCAGGAAGGGGTAGAAAATAGTTAAACTAAAATTCATAAACTTTTGATCATATTCAAAACACATCTCTGTGGAGTGTAAAATTTGAGTGAAAGGCTCAAGAAGTCTTTTTCCAGTAAAGTAATAAAGTCCTAGGTAGAGTGAAGGGTGACTGGTGACTTTGTTTGGGTGTTCAGACATCAGGACTGTTGGAAGTTCAAGGTTGTCTTTGCAGACATTTGGATAAGTACAGAAAACCCCAAATGATGCCAGCAGTCTTAAAATGAGAGTATCAGCAACTTTTCCAAATAGACCACTACAGATCATGTGCACCATGTAATCATCATAGTAATAATATAAATGCATTTTATTCCAAGCCGCTTGATTTGTATTAACTAAAACGATTATATGTGTAAGCAGTTACTTTGACTGGGAGTGTCTGTTACTCATGTTTTAGTAATAGAGTTTGCTTGTCTGCTTTTCAATGAGAATCACTGTTGTCCTGATTTTTTTTGAAAATCTGCATTTCAATGTGGTATAATTTAAAAGATTCTTTAGTGCTGTCATTCAAAGGTTAAGGAAGTCAGCAAAGGTCAGCAGCGACTTAACGTTTGGCCACTGCAACTCATTGCTCGCTTTTGTTAGTTGAATTTATTACCATCAGGAGACTATATTCCCACTGAGTTAAGGCTGGGCTTCCCAGAGTGACAAGTTGTAATTGTGTGGACTGTAATTGAAATTTCTAAAAGCTTTTTGGCAAGTTCCATCAATATATTGTAATCCCATCATCAGGTGATGAAGTCTAAGACTCTGAAAAAATGCGTTATAATGCTTCCTTTCAAATGTAAAACATCTAAAGTGGAAAGTGATTTACCTTTTGCCTTTTTTTCTTCCCTTCTTGTGATTTAATTTCTAGTTTGTGAAGACCTATAAGTATTTGATTTATGCTATCCATTTTTCACAGGCTTTTGAAGATATATATATTGAACAGCGCAAGACTATCAAGGTCATATTGGAATATGCTGACAAAGTCTTCACTTACATCTTTATTCTGGAAATGGTGCTAAAATGGGTGGCCTATGGTTTTCAAACTTATTTCACTAATGCTTGGTGCTGGCTGGACTTCCTGATTGTTGATGTACGTACTATACTCTCCAAGTAGCTTTTTTCTACTTTTTCTTCTATTTTTAAGCAGGTCATTTTGTGTGACTCCTATATGATGCATATGTATACAGTGAAGAATATAAACTTGGGTTAAAAATTACAGAAGACGTCATGCTATTGGATAAGATTCCATTGTAGATACTTAATGAGTAACTACATCTGCCTTAACGTATATATGTTATCTTTAAATCCATCTATCTGTGTTTTACTACGTTGATTCACAACCAGTGAGCGAGATGTATCAGCTGTAAAGGAGACAAGTGAAATATGAATTGGAATCCAGTCTTCTGAACTGGGTGACGTAGAGCTGGGAGGAAGCAGGAATAGAAAGCAGAGGGAGGTTTAAGTAATCACATGGGGTTAGGGAGGAACAATGAATCCTGAGCTTAATGAGTCAGTGGCAAAGAACTGCAGAGGAGGACGGTATCAAGCAATCAGGACAGCAAGAGAAAAGAGGAGGCAAGGAGGCAGCAATTAGAGTGAACAGAAGGGTTAGGAAAAACAAAAAGGAAGAAGGAATGATGGCCTAAGGATCGCTTTAAAAGGATAGGAATCATTCTTTAGCAATCCTCGTTTTGATTTTTATGGCACTCACTGCATGCTTAGCTGCAAGGCTAATTGCAGTGCAGCTCGTCTATTTTTCATTAACAAATGACTTTCTAAATATTTTTTTTTTGGAAGCTGAAATTCTTTTGGTTTTGTTTGGCTCTGTCTCTGGCCTTAAAGAGATAAAAGCCAGTTTTTAGGGTACAGAATTAATTGTGCTCCAAAGACGTTAATGAAATTAATGGCACTGCATGACGTTAGCATATGTTCTTACTAAGGAGTTCTTTCTCTTTGCACAGAAATTTGAGGGGAAATACTACAAATGGGCACGGGCAATTTCTTGAGTCGAGATGGAATCTGGAATCTAGGACAAAAATCGTTTATCCCCTAACAACGTAACTGAAGCTCACGTGCTCTTCTTAAAATACTTTTTTGGAGGAAAAGACGCAAGTAGTGTTATCTGTCTTCCTCATTTAACTGTGTTTCTCTTTTTAGCATCAGTCAAGAAAAAATAAAAATATTTTTACTCATTCTCAGCAAATGGATTAACTCAGTGAAATGAGAAATAACATAGGCTTTCTCAGGGGAAGTGCAATTTACATACTTCTCACTTGGAGTGTCCAACTGAAATTTTGTTTCCAGAATCTGAGTACAGTGGCTGAGAGAAGTTGAACTGCCAGTATGCTTTGGACTTTTACTTTTTAGTCACTGTCTGCAGTAGTGGTTTTATTCCCTCTTTTTTCTTCTGAAATAACGGAGCTTTTCAGTTTCCACCCTTCTTTATTCAGCGGCTTTGCACCCTTATCTAGGAATATCCCTTCCAACTATCTCAATGTCTTGCCTTGTTCTTTCCATTCCTTTTGTTCTGAATACACTTAATCTCTATACAAAGTATAAACTTAGCACGCTCCTGAAACAAATGTTGTGATCTCTAACAAGCCCAGTAAATACAGTAAAATGTTCCCCTCTTTCCTTAATATTAAACTCTACCAAATGAGATGCCCTCAACAAGGCAAATAAAAACAAGCTATGAAGACTGTCTCTGAATGAAGCTGGAAAATTTTTTGCATGTTCTTTTGTTTCAAGGACACTATAGATTTCTGTTTGTTGATCATAACTGAAATGCTAAATGAAAATGTGAGATCATTTCATAATTAGTGAGAAATCAGTAGCAATGGTCCATGTGGCCTGTCTCTTCTGTGCATAGGATTGTTGATTCCATGCTTTAGTCTCATTTCCTGTCAGGATTCCAAGACACTATGTTTCTGGAACCTCATGATATTTAAATTCGCATTTCTCTTTGTCCATTGCCGTTGTCATTTGTGAAAACAAAAGCAAATAAATAAATAAAAGAAAATCTATTGTTATTTAAGAAATAAGAAGTATCTTTTTCACAATACAGGCTTGTACAGATTGATCTTAAATTGAGTTTTGTTTAAGATAAAATTTTATTTGATTTTTGTTTAAGTAAAGCATACTGAAGCTCCATGCAGAAAGGTATGGAGTATTCCTTCTTTTCTGTGATTTCAGTGCTTTTATGTTGCCATCTTCAGCTCTTGCTTGACATGCCTACATCTTATGAGCCTATAACAGCAGATCATAGCATAGATTGAAAGGCACCTTCAGTGATTACCCATTCTAGCTCCTTACTCAAAGCAAGGCCAACTTTGTATTAGGTATGTCCAGCCTCAGGGTTAGATCAGGTTGTTCCGTGTGATGTCCAGTTTCGAATAGAGATGCATGGAGATTCTGCCACCTCTCTGGACAGCCTGTTTCCAGTGTGTTACCACCTGCACTGGGGAATTGCTTTCCCTAGAGAGAGTCAATCTGCTCAGCTTCTGTTGACTTTACTGACTGTTTTAGTTTTTATTGTTTTCAGGTAGTAGCAAATAACTTCAACTCTCTCTTGCTGCTGCTCTTCTTTCTCAGTTGGTTTAGGTAACAGGTGGTATGTTGACGTCAACTGCCTGAGTCCAGCTTTGCTCTACCTTCCTATCCTTTGGCTTTATCCATTAAAAATATTGAACAAAGTTGCTTTGCCAGTACCAGTCTAAATGATAAGTTTTTGATAGTGACACGACATTTTACAGGCTCCTTTCAGGCGAACTGTTCTGTACCTGTACTGCTCGACTCTCCAGCTGTCTTCTCTTTGTGAAAGAGCCTATAGCATACAAATGGAAATTGTTTTGCCTGTTCTTCCAGTGTTCACATTGTTTCCCAAAGGGGATAATAGCCCCAGAACAAGCACAAATGCTGGTTTTGCTCATGCATGTGAACATTCACAGATATAATGAAAAAGAGAATACGTGGAATCGTGTGTTGTTTGACTGTTTGCTTGAACTAGCATTGGAGGAAAGAAATCCACATAAGGCTTTTGGGTGTGTTCTTCAGGGCCACATGTACATGCCACAGGTGACAGCTGTCTGGAGTGGAAGTCTTGGGACACAAGTCATTGACTCTCCCTAGAAAACAGCATGGCCATCAGCTCTTGAGCTGTTAATCCAGCTGTACTGAGGGTTTCAGAAACTCTCACAGATTAGATCCTGTCTTCCACAAGAGTAATAATGTTATAAGAGGAAATAAATCTCAAGGCGCATGCGTTGTCCAAAACACAAGCAGTTAACAAATCCAAAGTAGGATGTATCCACCTTCAGTTAATAGAACGTGCTTTTCTGTGCAGTGCCATTTTTGGTAGTTAAAGGAACAGAAAGTTGACATGAAGCAGATTACTGAGAACGGATTCTGTCTCACATGTATCATTATGTGTGCTTTATACATTTTGCCTTCTTTTTTGTTACAATGCACCTCTTATCTTTCCCAAAACAGTAAATTTATATAGTACTTTTTTCATTGTACATGAAAGAAATGTTACGGTTAAGCACTTTTAAATAAGAAAGAAAGTGCAGAGCTTCTATCAGTATGAAGGTGTGCAAACCATGCTCATGTGAGGAAGAAGAGGAAATTAAGAAAAGATATGCAAGCATGTGCACGCTCACGCACCAGAGCACCAAAAGATTTACGCTTTTATTGCTGCAGTGCTGTGATGAGATAAAGTATCCTTTCTCCCCTTTTCCCCTCCAAAAGAAGAAGAAAGCAGAAAGAAGCAATGCACTAAGTTATATCTTAGTTTCCAAAGTAAGACACAGATATTGCTAGGTAGGGATGTGCTCATCTTGTAGGAAGAGGATTTACTTCCATGTAGATATGTAAATAAAATAATTGCATTATCTATAAGAGAATATGGGGATCTGGCAGCAGCTCTTGAAGCAGATTTTCTCTATATCTTCTCTAGAATACAGAGGTATGGCGTAATCTCAAGGTTTTGAAGGATTCACATGGATTAATGCTTTTTACAGTAAATATGTTTATCTGTAAGTTTAAAGAAGCAACATTCCTTTGAAACTAAGTATTATGGTTGTATTTGCATAGAAAATTATTTTGTCTGCTGGCATAAATCAGGGTAGTTCCGTGCAGTGAATGTGTTCCTTTTCTGGATTCTTTCCTAATTCTTTTCCATTTTTTTCATGAGACTTTTTCCTCTTGAACTATCTGACCTAGTTATAGCTAGTCCAACAGGTGAATTACGTAAAGTTGTAGATGGGCTATTTCATAAGTACAACTCGGTGATCGCCACAAAACCTTATCATGGATGACTGTGTAGTTGTATTTCATGTATTGCACAGACGTTATGAGTTCTCTGAATTAATTTTGGTTTAATATAACTTGTGTGACTTACAAAATCATTGCATCTTGATTTTTAAGATCAACCGATTTTATTAAAATTTTTCATGCTGCATTTAAAAGACATCAAAAGCTAGCCAGTTTCTCTTCATCATGAGTGTGTTTTAAAGTGTGTCACTGTTTAACCCACTTTGAGAGTGCACATAGTTCTAAAGCATCTTTGTCAGCCTCTTAACCGTTCTTGTGCTTCTTAGAACTGTTAACTTCCTTATGAACTGCAGATGCTGGAAAGAGTATTCTTTACCAAATGGAGGTAAACACAGCTTTCTTTCCTGATACTTTGTATTATCATTTTTAAATATTGAAAGACTGCAGTAGTCTGTAGAGACAGCAAATAATAAATCACAATTAAATGATTTTCCATCATAAATCCTATGACTTTTTCACAGCTACTACTTGCCAGGAAAGTGCTATCTTGTTATGTGTTTGAGTACGTTGCTTTTAGGTAATTGTGTTGAAACTGATATTTCTTTTTAGGTGGCCTATCATACAATCAGGAATCATGTCCTGTTTGGCGCCTGGCCGGGAGTGACCTGTCTGACTCAGTGTATACCACTTTCAAGTCTGTTATCATCTGCAAGAAATATGAATTACTAGTTACTCATACATCTGTTATCATGTGAATTATTGTTTCTGAGTGCAAATTAGCAGAAACAAATGTAACTGTGTCACATTTTGTCATGTCTGTAGTAATGCATCTGCAGTAGAGCGTTGTTTAGTGTTGTAACACTTGGTGTAGAGTTGAATAGATTTTCAGTACGTTTGAGGCTTTGACTGAGTTTATTGGGAAGGTGAGCTTTTACTCAAATTCTTTTTATCCAAATTGTCATGCCCTCACGGCATGTGGCACTGATAATGGAAGTGAGAAGAATGCTTTGTATTTTGAAAATGCTAAATCTAATTGGTTCCTCCTTTCATTTGGATGCACTGCAAAGTTTAGTTAGCAAAGCAGTTAGGCTACTGTAGACTTACACCTAGTCATTTACCCTTTGCAACCAGTGTCAGAACTCCTTCTGATTTTGCTGCTTGACTGAGAATAATTTTATGGAACGTTTGAAGCAAAAGAGCAAAACTATGTATTTGTTAACAAATGCTATGGATTTACCCTTTTTCCATTTTATTAGATTATTTTTTGGTTCAGCTGCTCTTCAGCTAATTCTGTAGCAATATAAGTGCAAAAGGAATCCATTTATTCCTTTGCAATGTATTTCTTCATTGATGTGATACATATAATGATGCACTTAATTGCATTTCAACTTCTAGCAGTTTTACTAACCTGTCACAGATTATTGCATGTAATGGTAAGAAACTCATCCAACATTTTACTGCTTTTCATGAGAAATAGAAGAGTATTATTTAATATATTTTCTCAGCTAGTAATACCAGAAAAAAATCTTTTGTGTAATTCAGAGTAGCCTGTATCCTGCATTTTGCACAGGTATGTCATGCATTCTTTTCACTACCGTTTTACCCAGAGTGTGCATCTGTGATGAAAGTTCCAGAGACTGAGATCTCTTTTTGTTTAAACTCTTCAGAAATTTGCAGACAACTTTCTATTCCTTTCTAACTTTTTATTCTATTTATTCTTGTTAGAAGCTTGGAGTTCTTAGGAACGTTTTTCTAACATCCATATTCAAATTTTCTTCTGCTAGTCATTACATTTATGTTTTGAGGCTATTAAAAAACGCTCTTTCAGGGGTTTTCTGTTTTGTTTCCTCTAGGTCTCCTTGGTTAGCTTAATAGCTAATGCCCTTGGTTTCTCAGAACTTAGTGCAATTAAATCCCTCCGAACATTAAGAGCTTTGAGACCTCTGAGAGCTTTGTCACGCTTTGAAGGCATGAGGGTAAGGAAAAAGGAAACTCTGAAATCATGTGTAAAATAAATACCTAAAGATATGCCTAGTGAATTATAAAATCATGCAGGAATGGTGAATTGTATGGCAATTATCAAGGTTTTCAGTATCATATTTGCTTGTATTTCTTGTGTATTGCTATTTTTATAGGCGTTATTTCTATGTATTTTAATGCAGCATTTTATTTGCACTTTTGCATTAAATATTTTGCTTTATTTAAGAAAAAAAAAAAAGATTACCGATACATATTATTCCTTAAATTTTTTTTTTTTTGTATGTTTACTTACTAGGTCGTTGTAAATGCTCTTACTGGAGCAATCCCATCCATTATGAATGTACTTCTGGTTTGTCTTACGTTCTGGCTGATTTTCAGCATCATGGGAGTAAATTTGTTTGCTGGCAAGTTCTATCACTGTGTGAACACTACAACTGGTGAGATGTTCCCACCAGAGGAAATTGATAATATGACTGCATGTAAAAATCGTACATACACTGCTGTGGATGTCCGGTGGAAAAACGTGAAAGTAAACTTTGATAATGTTGGAGCTGGTTATCTTTCTCTACTTCAAGTAGTAAGTGTATATATTTTGCTAAATTAATTTCTCAGCTTTAAGTTTTGTAGCAGTAAAATTTGATCCCATAATTTTCAGAGTTATACAACAATATGTACACAGATACAGTATTTCATTTCATGACTGTGCTCTGTCCAAGTACCCAATAGCTACTATCTTTTCAAATTCTACAGAAATACAGAATCTCATCAATAAAAAGCATCTAGGATTCATTTTATTTTATTTGCTTGATCTTTTAAGGCATACAGGCATGGATTTTTACCACGGTCATCAAATAGGTACATTCTAGACCTCATCTGATTTTGAGAACAAAAAGAGAGCCCTCTATTGGTTTCGAAATAGGAAATAGGAAAGGAAAATTTGTTAAAAACAGGCAAAGAAGAGAAAGGAAAAAAGAGAATCTTAAGTTCATCTCCCATTTTATTATGCCTATTGGCTGCTCTCTAGTCATCATTATTGTTGAGTTTTTTGTTTGGAGATCATTTTGGGCTTGTTTTTAAACTCTAGACCAGCAGTTGCCGAACTTGCCAGAATCCTAGGCACAAGCTTCTTTCTAGTGGCAGCATCTGTGGAGTGGAGCCGATAGGACAGGAACGTCCATTCCTAATCAGGTTCATTGGCAGAATGCTTCTGGGAAAATATTTGGGCTCATAAGCGCAGGGCAATTATTCTGTCTTTTAGACTCTCAAGCTGGTAGTATTGTGCTAGCAGGCTACCATTTGATTGCTGTTGAACTCCAAGCAGGAGCAGTAGCTATTGCTAAATAGCTCCAGGAATATTTTCCTGGAATGTTACAGACACCTGAATTTATTTCACCATAACTGATAAGCAACTTCTAAGAAATATTTAAATTTCTGAAAATAATTTCTCTTGAAGACAGATATTAGCATAACTTCTGCCAACTGAGGTTACTCAGGAAAAGCTAAAACCGATTTGGGTTCGACCTTCTAGACAGTCGTCTTAACATGTTTTTGTTAACAGCAAGTGACTTTGTGGAGCCTGGTTTCAGGTACGCAGAAGCTGAATACCTTCGGAAGCAACAACTTCTCTAATATCTTGACGAAAGTATATTGTTTCCCAAACTCATTCAGACATGGTTTATTTACTGCTTTGCAGCATAGGAACTGCAAAAACAGATGGAGAATATGAATGTTATAGTGTATTGTAATATTATGTAATATAATAATAGTATTATATTAAATATACCAGTTTAATACTGGTGCTAGTTTTCCACTCATCCAGAAGTCCGAAAGCTTGGTTGAGCTTTGTTTGCCACTATCATTCCAAAAGGCAAATTTACTGCAGCATTGAAAAGTTAGAACTTTGTTTATAATTTTTTTTCTACTTTCTACTCTAGCAGCTAGCTACTTTGGACTCCCTCGGCTTTGTGGAAACTAAAGGGAGTGGTAACTTAAATGCTGTGTTCTTCAGTAAAGGACTTTTCACTACAGTGAAGTTGAATTTATATCTTTCAGACTTCATTCAGTAAAAGATGTCTTGGCCTACTCTACTGGCTCTCCTTCTCCTATTATGGCAAAAGGAAAATTGTTTGGGTTGGAGAAGACATACGTTTCACGTATCTTCTGAGTAGGAAGAATGCTTTATTTTTTGACATTGTGACAGTAAAATACAGTGTTGTACTGTAGACAGCACCTTTTTTATGCCTACTTGGTGCATGTTGCAGCTCAAGATGATTCCTGACCTTTCTTTTCCCGTGGTCCTAGAGGTGCATGCGAGGATTATCTTGGCAGAATATCTTAAAACGCGTCTCTTATATTAAGTAGTGGATAGTATCTACCTGTTCTAGATAGTAGAGCATATGGTCTCTGCATTGTGTGCCTCTTGGAGTAGGACACAGCTTACACCAAATGCCCTGTGCTTTTTAGACTGTTCAATTTTGCCACATAAAAATCTGTTGTGATAGTGAGACACTGGTGTCCATATTCAGACAAACCTGTTGCAGTTACGGTGTTAATATTTTTTCTTCTTTACATGCACTTTACATTTGCTGTGATTGTTGATGATGAGAAAAGTATGTTATGTAGACATTATAGAGTAGTGGAGAGACAACTTTCCTTCTCAGTACCTGAACCACAAAGAGATGTTATTTTCAGGAATCTCACTCTCTCTTATATAAGAGAAATGCATAGGTACAAAATCTGTGTGTGGACTGGAAAGAAACGAGATTACAGATGCTTGTAAGTGCAGTGCCCTTATTTTGTGTACGATAGAAAGATATAGCCTATTCACAGAGATGTGACAAATTTATTTGTAGACCTCTGAGAGTAGAAGTCGCTGGAGCAGTTCTAAATATTGGTTTATTTCTATGAATGATATAAAAAGTGATTAAATTAAAACCTGTCCTTCCTCAGACAGTAAACGTTATATTAGCATAATTTTGGGGGGAAACACTGTCTGTCCTTACAACAAAAGCTTAACATTTTCTTAAAACTTCCTGGGACTGCTTATCATCTGGACTTTCCTTTAGGACTATTTGCATATTTTGTCTGAGGAATGCAAACTTGTTTTGGCTTTTAATTGGCTTATTTTGGCATATAATTTGGCTTTGTATTACATAAATACCTTCTCCAGTTTTTTGGTGTCAGAAAGTTAAAACTGAGAGTGTTATTATGGATTGCACTCTTTCTGTCATGCTCAGTTATTGATTTCAATACATCCCCCATAGAATTGGATGAATTTGCATGAAGATGAGATTTTTTTTCAGAGATTCTTTGTAAGTATTAGGGATAAGTTAACTTCCACAGTAACTTACTTGTCGTGAATAACGCACTCATATTTTGCCACTAACATTTAATGTTCTCTTTTATGGAGTTGATGCAAATACATTGCACAAGACAGTGTTTTATAGTTGAGGATGAGTATAAAATAGGATGCTTCTCTTTATTTGAAGCTTTGAAAGAAAATATTAACAAAGTATTTGTTTTTAGGCAACATTTAAAGGGTGGATGGAGATCATGTACGCTGCTGTTGATTCTAGAGAAGTAAGTCCAATGTAAACTGTACTAAGCTTAAACAAACACAAGATTCATGTAATGCTTCTTGAGTGGCACTTGAAATAAAGTTCTCTCTCTCTCTCTCTCTCTCTATATATATATATTTAAAAGAAGAATGTAAAATATTGGATTTTTTTAAATATAAATCTAAAATTATGAAGTAATTAACTGCATATACTTCAAATGGGTTAAAAAAATTTTCTATCAGTGGTTCTACGTAACATATCACTACTTGAATGAGTTATCTGCCAGTAGCATAACTAATGAAATTTGGATTCCTATGGATATTTGTCACTGTGCTGGTATAAATTAGGAAATGTGTTTTTGTATATGTCTCCAAAAATAACCCCAATTTACAATAAGCATCTGCAATAGCTAATCCAGAGTTGCGGGAGTACTGAATGGCTATCTCAGAAAGTCAAATGGCTGAATTTGGCATGTTTTTCTTTTAATTGAGGTATTTGCATCCAGCTTCTGACTTGCTTAAAATTCATAGGATCTTAAGTTGCTTTTGAGACTTGCCCACTTTATCATTTTTAGTAAAAATTAAACTACACATCAAATGTCATTCGAGAGGAACAGGGAGACAGAAAGAGGAGAAATGACAGGAATAAATGTGCAATCAAAAACACCTGTACTCCACAGAAAGCTGCGCTGATTAAATAGATTTTCAAGACTATTTGCTGCTATTGGTGATGTATTGCAATTTTTCTTTGTTAAATAGGTGGAGCAACAGCCCAAGTATGAACACAACATGTACATGTACCTTTACTTTGTAGCCTTTATCATCTTTGGATCATTTTTCACCCTAAACTTATTCATTGGTGTCATCATAGATAACTTCAACCAACAAAAAAAGAAGATAAGTATTCTGATGTTTCCTTGTCCTAATACTTCATTATCATTGACCATTCAGTAAATGTATGCAAGGATCAGTATTAGTATCTGAAATTTCTCAGTAATGCAAAGAAAAAAAGCACAGAAAGCAACTATTAACTTTTCTTTTTTAATTTAAAATAGTGAAATAATAGTCTTTACTTTTTAAAGCATTTGAAGTAATTTGAATTTACACTAACATCTGGTTCTCCGCATCCTTCTACACCTCCATTATAGTCAGTACATCAGAAGGTTATGTATAATTTCATTTTTGCTTATTCTTACAGTGCTCTGACAGTGCTATGAGAAAATGCAGAGGTTTTCTACCGCAAGGAAATAGATGACAGGGAAGAAGAGACTATGCAAAACTAGAATAGTAAAATTGAAAAACTGATCATATATGACAATACTGTGAAGGCCTTATCAATTACAGAAAGACTAATAAAGAAAAGCTGAATCCGGAAACTATTGCTCAGTACTGCAAGATTAGAGAGGTTTGGAAAACTGTCTCCTGCGTTGATAGTTACAGGATTGTAACTCTAGGAGGATTCAAATAGATTAAAATGCAGACTGTGATGACAAGTTATATTCTACTTGCTATCTAAACTCTGAATGCAATCTGGAGCATGTCTGGAGCACAATTGTATGGGAATCGTAGGTTAAAAAAAGGCACGAGTCACTAATTAGCAGCAAGGCAGAACGTGGCTTCTTCATTTGTGGTTCTAGACGATTTGTCAAATTTGATTCTTCACACTAAAAAAGAAGATACTGATACTGAGATGGAAACTTCCACTAAATGTTTCCATATACTCTAGGCAGAAATCTACACTAAAGACATGCTGGGCTACTCTTGTAGCCTTTTTTTTTTTTTTTTTTTGTAATGTTTTCAAAGTGCTCTCTTGAAGTAATCAAAACCTGGCAGTAAATTTGCCAGATGATTGTGGCTGAATAGGTCTCATGGAATGTACTCATTCATGGTATCCTGACATGCTTAAATGTTTAATGGAATCTACATATTTAAAGATATGTTTTATCCTTTTGATGGTTATCTTTATTTTCTCACTTGAATTCTGAGAGGTTTTGACTTTTCATTTCTTTGACAACTCTGTTCTTCTCCTTATGCTCTGTAGGGAGAGCATACACAGTTGTACAAATTTATTTTTCATTTATTTGACAGAATATTTATTTCCGGAGAGGAAATACTAGTCTCTCAAACAGGGACTTTGGTCTGAAAATTTTTCTTAGACCTATTTTCCCTCATAGGCGTGCAAACTAGTGTTTGTTCCAATTTATTTTTCTCCCTGCTTTCTTTTTCTCTCAGTTTCTCTCTTTAATTTTTCAGAAGGGCAGAGAAAGTTTGGCCAGTATCAATACCCTTGTATTTTTACAGAGTTTTTTCCTACCTATGTAAATGAATTATATTTAGGTTGGGTCTATGATTTCCTACATTTTGTTCATAACAAATAGTCAAAAGTTGTTCCACTTATTTTTTTTTTTTTTACTTTCCTTAATTTGTTTTACTTTTCCAGTAAGACTTGTGAGACATACTTATGGTCTTTTTTGCTATAATTTGTATTTTGCAGCCATTTTTAAGAATGAATAAGTAGTCCATAAAAATTATGTTGTGCAGTGTATATTTAAAGGCATGACTGTAATCGGTTTTATTTTTATGACTTTACCTTGGAGGTCAAGACATTTTCATGACAGAAGAACAAAAGAAATACTACAATGCAATGAAAAAGTTGGGTTCCAAAAAACCACAAAAACCTATACCTAGACCAGCGGTAAGAATGTGTGTTAATTCTTGTATCATCTACATTTGGGAACTAATCACAGTGGTCTATTAACTATCAAAAAATGTCTCATTGTACTCTAAAATGATTTAGGCCTAGAACAATTTAACCCTTCACATGAAAGAATCTGAAGAAATATAAACCTACCCTTTGGGGGGAGGGGGGAAACTTACACCTGGCAAAGAAAAAATTGCTTGAGTGTTTTTCTTAGATTTTTCAGCCTTTTGCTTTGTTATATATTTGGGGGAGGGGAGGGGAGAGAGAGAGAATAAAGAGGTAGGAGAGGAAAAGGATGTTCATTATGTACAAGATAATAGTATACTCCTCCTTTCTTTTCCCCCAGAACAAACTGCAAGGCTTGGTGTTTGATGTTGTAACAAAACAAGCATTTGACATCAGCATCATGGTTCTCATCTGTCTTAACATGGTCACCATGATGATAGAAACAGATGACCAGAGTGAACTGATGCAAAATATTTTATACTGGATTAACTTGATCTTTGTTGTCCTTTTCACTGGAGAATGTGTGCTCAAACTGTTCTCACTCCGTTATTATTACTTCACCATTGGCTGGAATATTTTTGATTTTGTAGTTGTTATTCTCTCAATAGTAGGTAAGAAACTCTTATATTCAAAACAAAATATAGTAAGATATGTATATATTAAAAGCTTTATTTCTGCCAAGTTTTCTAGATCAGAGAAATACTTAACTTTCATTTCTCCTGATTTTTTTCAGGAATTGAGAAACATACTTTAGAGTAGTAACATTCTTAAAAATTCTACACCAATTGTAATACCCTTTTTCCTAAAGGTGCTGGAAAAAGCTAGAATTATTTATAACAGATAAAATGCACTGACTCTTCCTCCATTTATAACTTCCACTAATGACAGAGTTCTTTATTCATTTTCTTTGTTATGGAAAATGTAAACTGTGATAAATTTTTATCCTTTCAAATCTGTTTTTATGTTTCACAGGCATGTTTTTAGCTAAGGTGATTGAAAAGTACTTCGTGTCCCCCACCCTGTTCAGAGTCGTACGACTTGCCAGAATAGGTCGAATCCTGCGTCTCATTAAGGGCGCTAAGGGCATCCGCACGCTGCTTTTTGCTTTGATGATGTCTCTTCCTGCTTTGTTCAACATTGGTCTGCTGCTGTTCCTGGTCATGTTTATCTATGCGATATTTGGAATGTCCAACTTTGCCTATGTCAAGAGGGAAGCCGGTATCGATGACATGTTCAATTTTGAAACGTTTGGCAACAGCATGATCTGTCTCTTCCAAATTACCACGTCTGCTGGCTGGGATGGTTTGTTAGCCCCAATTCTCAACAGCGGGGAACCAGACTGTGACCCGCATAAAGCTCATCCGGGCAGCTCTGTTAAAGGTGACTGTGGCAACCCTTCCGTTGGGATTTTCTTCTTTGTCAGCTACATTATCATATCGTTTCTGGTAGTGGTGAACATGTACATTGCTGTGATTCTGGAGAACTTCAGTGTTGCTACTGAGGAAAGTGCTGAGCCCCTGAGCGAGGATGACTTTGAGATGTTCTATGAGGTTTGGGAAAAATATGATCCAGATGCCACACAATTCATAGAATATAGCAAACTATCAGATTTTGCAGCTTCTCTGGATCCTCCTCTTCATCTACCCAAACCGAACAAAGTCCAGCTTATCGCAATGGATCTGCCCATGGTAAGTGGTGACAGAATTCACTGCCTGGACATCTTGTTTGCTTTCACCAAGCGTGTTTTGGGGGAAAGTGATGAGATGGATGCCCTCAGAATACAGATGGAAGACCGGTTTATGGCAGCCAATCCTTCTAAAGTCTCCTATGAACCGATTACCACCACATTAAAACGAAAACAGGAAGAAGTATCTGCTGTCGTTATTCAACGTGCTTATAGATGTTACCTTTTCAGACAATCAGTAAAAAAAATTTCCTTTGTGTATGGCAAAGATCGGGCTGATCTGCCCATCAAAAAAGATACGATTATTGATAAGCTAAGTTTAAACTCAGCTCCAGATAAAACAGATATGACCGCATCCACCACATCTCCACCTTCCTATGACAGTGTAACAAAGCCAGAAAAAGAAAAATATGAAGATGACAAATCAGAAAAAGAAGACAAGGGAAAAGACAGAAAAGGAAATAAAAAATAAAAGAAGACAAAAACAGCTTGCCTGTGATGAATGTTTAGAAGCCTGAGAAGATGACATCCTTATCAATTCCACTCTTACTGGAGGACTGTGCCGAAATGACAACTTTTTACATATTTACCCATTGTTGTAGTCAATGCCTATATCAAGACATTGACCCTCATTAGCAAACTCTCACTCTATAACAGAGAAACAATTGCCAGAAGACTAGCTTTTGTTATGGCTGTAAGTAATGATGAAGACACACAAAATTTCTACTCGGACTGCTGGGACCCTTTACTGGGTACAAAATTACCAGACATATTAAGTCTGTATTTTTGTGAAATAAGTGTATTCACTGTGTGCATTTCATCTGCTAGATATGTTGTATATTTGTAATTTCTTTTGATGATCTCATTAGCTTTAATTCCCCTGTTATTATTTATGATTTTACTATGCTAAGGGAAAAAATACCCTTTCAGGGGTATACAAATGTCAAGGATATATATTTGTGGCATCATAATGTGAATATAGTCTTCTGCTTGCCAGTTCTAAAAACAGAAAACCAAGATCCCAGATTCTTTTACCTCAGGACAGAGTATCGAGAAACAAGTTATCAGAAAACACAACAAGGAGAGTCTACATTCATAGGAGAATGGTTTTCACAGAAAGGAGGTTGGTAATTTAATTTCTTGGTTTTAATGTACTTATTATTTTTAGGTAAATAGTAACTTACTACACGGCGGTACGTCCTCCTATTCAGAGAGAGGGATTTAAATAAGTCATGCTACATACATAGCTCCTGTTTTAAAAAACATAAAGTTAAGAAACAATAGTTACCTTCAGGGTCCAAGGTATCCCTTAACTCCTGAGGGATTTAAACAGATTTTATGACAGAATAGCTACAAACATCAAGCAGGGCTTACAGAGAATTACTGAAAATAAACAGAATGGTGGGCTATTTTTTGCTTTGTTTGCTTAATTTCATCAGTGGCTTTCATACTTAGTTCTGTAGTCGGTCTGTGCTTCTTGTTTCACATGAGTAAATCCCATGTAAGACGGTAACCAAAGCTAAATGTATAAACTGATAGCAAAGTACCCGTGGGACAAATATTGCCTTAATGTATACCTCAGGCTGAAATTTTAATACTTTGGAGGGATAGGTCATAGAAGAGACAGAAAGTGTGTGCATCAAAGACCATTTGGACCCCTGTGGCACTTCAGTCATGTTTTCACTGGAACCTTCCCTAGAATGCTGAGGTGACCAAAAGGATGTATTTAAATCAGCTTTATCCTGCGCTATAATTTAGATAACCTGTGTTCTCAACCATGCTGACACTATATATGTAAGTAAAAGGCCCTCTGTTATTTAATCGATTGTTTTACACAGTAGTACCTGTTTGAACAAAAAGACAATGACCTAAGTACTGTATTTATTGCGTCAAATATGTATCTTAGAAAATGTAGCTTATAACATTTCAATAGATAATATGATATATTCTGTAATACTCCAAATAATTGGGAAGCTTTAACTGATGCATGCTTGCTGCTATTATCCTACAGCTATTGAAGTCTAAGATGGGAAGACATATGAGTGGTAGAATGAAACAAACTGTTCAACCAGACCATCTTTCCTCATGTCAGTAAGCAATAGTTTACTGCTATTTTAGATTTTATTTTGTTTCAGTTTTTTAATCAGTAACATGCAGTGAATAACGAGACTACACAGGACAAATCTATTGCTTAACTTGCTTAAAAAGTGGGGCTAGAAAAAAACTTTTATAATATATATCTCTATCTGTTGATCTAGCTATATTATTTTGAAAATAATTTTATTTTATAACATTTTATAATAAGAAACTACAAATATCTTCACATTATTAGTAATTTTTATTACTTTCTATCCATGACGCTTTACTGCTGGGAAACCTAAGATACGATGTGAATCAGTAGTTCTAAGTTTCTGCTAATTATGTTAAACATATTTGAATAAGGAGTAATTTTAAAAGAAATTGACATTTCTTTTTCCTCACAGTAGGTTGTTCCTTTTATGTAAAGCAAGATGGAAGGGTTTCTTTCGAATTCATAGTCCACTCTCTGTCAATTTTCAGGTTAATCTTAGTCATAGAAGCTTTGCTTTTTTCCAGTCTCCTTTTCTTGTTGATTCATGCTGCAATAGAAGTGCTTTAAATATAATTTGTTATACAAAATCTTTTTTCGTGAGAATGAATAGTGAACTTGTATAATGGACAGTGGAATACTTTGTTTCCTACAGAAGAAATAAAATATAGATAGGCTCCTTCTTTTACAGAAACTATTGCTTTGTAGTGTACTGGTGAACTGCATGCAGAAGTTATTTTACCAAAAATAACCACATTGCTAACAACCCAAAAGAATAAAGATAACCTTTTTATGTATTTGCTTTAGTCTTTGTGTTTTTACTGTATAAAGTTAATACATATTAACAATTAATTGTTAAAATTAAGGGGGGAACCACTTTAGTGATGAGGTGGTTTTAGATGGCTAAATTTAAGAAACCCTTTAGATTTCAAGGGTATGTAGAAGGATCAAGTCAACATCTTCCATAAAAAACATTAAAATTTCCCCTATGTAAAGACAAGAAAAGTGATGGTGAAACATGTCATTCAGTTACCATACGAACAAAATTTTGAATTATATTCCTTTTTATGTGGTCATTCATGACTTCAGTGGAATCCAGAACTGCTCTGAAGAACTTTAATGATTGTTCTTGAAAGAGTTGTGGATACTGTGTAATGACCCAGCATCCAAAGGCTCTAAGCACCTCAACAGGAACCATATTTTCCAAAGCAAAGGAAGTATCTGCGTTTTTAAACCCTTGATACCCTTACTGTAGGATTTTTTTAAACCCTTACTGTAGGATTTTGGGGTTTATCATTCATTAGCATTGCGGAGGAATTTACTTTATATAGTCACTCTAACATTTTAATTCTCCAATGAATGCTCCCTGATTAATTGTACTGTAATTTGGTAGTATGCAGAGGTACATGATGTTTGTTGAAAGCATAATCAAACTGAAGTCACCGTTTTTGTTGACTCAAATTCTAAACTTTTTGGCCCTTTGCAAAAAGGGTAATGTATTTGCAGATTTCAAATGTATATATTTGAATAAACTTGCAACCTTTTGTATTTCTTAGAAATTATTCCAGTATACCTGGAAGTCATTTGCCTTTCTGGAAGATACAGTTGACTTGCAATGTTCCTCCTTAACCTGCAGGGATAAAGTAGAATAATGTTTTAATGTTGATATAAGACACATGTTTCTGCATAGTGGGCTAGTCATATAACAGCATGTGAAGCAGTAAGCAAAATTCCCAGAACGGAAGGGCACTCCAGTCTCTTATTATCCTAGGTTGCAGAGAGAGGAAAATGAATAAGAGAGGCATCCCTAAAGTTTCTCAGGAAAAAGCCTACTTTACTGTCTCTTATCCACCCAGAAATGTTAGTGTATTTTCTTATCTAAATCATCGGAAGGTGCCATCAACTCTGTGAATGGAGAAAATTTCTTATTTTTGAAAATCTTGGCCTTGCTCAACTCCATAACAAAACTCCATTTCACTTCTGTGGACAAGACTTTACCTGCATTGAGCATACAAAGTTGTCTCTATTGTAAAATTATTAAAGGGAAAATGGCACAGGGAAGAGAGAGGATATTCCTCATTCATCTCATTGTAAAGAGCCCTGAAATCTAGGATTTTTTTTTGTATTGCTTTTAAGCAAAAGCACATGTTCCTGAGTATCATATAGTTAAATCTGATTGCCTCCAGTAGAGGGCACAAACACCTGGCAGATAATCATGATAATGTGGATGATGTCTTCGATTTAAGCCGCATAAGGAATCCAGAAATACAAATTACAGTCACAGACGTAGGGGATAGCTTACACCTTTTCAGAAAATTTATAGTATTTATACTTTGTTCTAGTAGACTAAGGGAGCTACAACATGACAGTTACACTTGTTGAGTAAAGGCAGCTTGCTCTGTAATACTTTTGTGAGTTGGCCGGCAATTTATGGATTTAGGTTCTAAACAGCAGCATGTGGCCCTTTATTTAGGGCTTACACCACATTAGTTAAAAACTGCCACACTCCTCTGAGCTTACTAAAATACAGCCTTAGGTTATCTATTAAAAATGTGCTGAGGAATTCCACAGAGGATAGCTTCTACTTTTATTAATAGGCATAATTCATTTAATGCTGCTGTGCATCCACAGCCCCAACCTTCTGAAAGAATCACATAAGAAAATATCTATCTTGTTTGCATGGTAAACAGTCATAAATGACGTGAAGTATTATTAAAAAATGCATTATTTTTTTGAACTTAGAAAATTCTTAAGGTAGCCATTCTGTAGTGCATATTCAGAAAGGCTTTCTAGCTTTATAATGCATTAGGAGAAATATCCTGAAATATCTGCAGCATAAGCATATTTAATGGCTCACAAAGCTCTGCGTTATGAACATCTTTGTCAGTGGGGGATGGTACCAATGTCTTTCATTCTCTGAGCACAGCTAAGTTTTGTCTGTGTGATCCAGCATGCAGCCTCCATTACTTAGCATATTTTATATTTTCTTTCTCGCTGATGAGTGGGAGCTGTTGCATAGTGAAACATAGACCTATCCTAGTGCCTGTCTTTTAAAAAAAAAAAAAAAAAAAGAGAGAGAAGAAAAAAAAAGAAAAAAACTGCAGCAGAGCCCAGGCACAGTAAACTGCGGCACATTCTCATCTCTCCGGAGTAGGGGCAATTGCATGCAGAAGCACGCTTGATCTCTGCTGCAAGATCAGTATTTGATGGAAACAAGAAATGACAGTTCATAAACAATTTATAACAGTTAAAAACATCAGTGCCAGACATGCTCTGCACTTGCATGTTCTATTGTTTGTCGCAAAAGCATCTTGCTTTCTTTTTGACCACAATCTTAATAATCTTTGTAGAATCTTCCAGCTAATTTAAAACCTATAGTGTTTTTCAGAGGATGAATTTCTGAGATGGAGTGTAATATGCCATTTTCATTTTCAAAGTAGTAAGTATCTGCAACATACATGTTCCTAAACAGCCAGGGAATTACATGCCTTTTTGCAGTATTGCTGTGTAAAACTGTCGTGCTTGCAGATACCATAGCAACCCGAGTCATGTGGTACTTCTTAATTACCAGAATATACGGTAGCTTTTTGCCGTGTTCTGCAGAAGGACTTGCATTAATATCTGTATTCTGTATGAAGTGTTCAGCAAATACTGCATCTGCATCCACCAAATACAGCAAACTGGACTAAGCCAGTGATGATAACCATGCCTGTGGTCTCAGGCAGGCAAAGAGCTAAAATGCTTTCTCCGCTGATAGGCACTGTGAATCCCTGTAACCTTTCTCTTGTTTATAACCTGCTGGTGGCTGTCAAATGTGGTGTTTAAACGTTCATGCAGCATTGCTGTGAGTGCTGATATATTTATATGTTAGGCTGAAGGCAACTGCTCAAGCTCTAACTCTGTAGGACTGGAAATGTTGTGAGCTACATGGTAGCAGATAGGTGGGGAGATAAATGCAGGGACCTGAGAACATCTATCCGGAGCTGTGGGAATCCAAGAAATAAAACAATTTTGGAAGTGACATTCAGGAGCATTGTGAACTCTGTTCAGATCAGCAGCTTCACTGCTTTTACTTTTGGGGGTTTGTTTGTTTTTTTGTTGTGTTTTAAGTCTGACATGTTGCAACATCTTTTAGAATTTAATTTTGTATGAAAACAAAAAGAACTAGGAAATAAGAATGTTTATATAGGGGTGGTGGAGTCTCCTTCGCTGGAGATATTCAAAACCCGTCTGGATGTGATCCTGGGCAATATGCTCTAGGTGACCCTGCTTGAGCAGGGAGGTTGGACTAGATGATCTCCAGAGGTCCCTTCCAACCTAAACGATTCTGTGATTCTGTGATATCCAAAGGACAGTAACCAACAGCAGATATGTAGAAGACATAATGAAATGTAAACATGATTTATCTACTTGGGATTTATGATTAAAACCCTTCTTTCTCATTCAAATTTTACTCTGTATGCCTTTGAAAGTACAGTATTGGGAAGGGCATTGATTTTTTTTTCAAGTTGACTTTGCCAAATGTAAAGAATGGTAACATATGTCATTACTGCCTGTCTTTGATGTAAGACATATGAAAGAGGTTACAGATTTTGCATTATTATTTCACTAGAGATGCATAACATTTCTAATCTCAATGTAAATTATGCAGAAGGAGACTATTTCAAACATGAATTTAAGAGATTCTCATTAGATGTGTGTCCAAAAGCTAAGTCTCTGAAATGGTGTTTACGTATAAAACCAAGTGTAATAATGATAATATATGATTGTATACCCCAGAGGTGCAAGCCACTGAAAGGAAACCATGCACGTGGAGGAATGGACAGGAAAGATTGCAGAGTCCAATAATAGATATAAATCCTCTCTAATTCCAAAAGATAATCTCAAAACCTTTTTGTGGCTTTTTTTTTCTGCATCTAAGTTTAAACGTTGCTATCATTTATTTGTTTAATATTATGAGTGGCGATTAATGTTTAGAGTAATGTTAAGACTTTGCTTTTTCTGTTCATAGTTGGAATTGTTGGAAGCTGACAATTGGTGTATTGGAAAAGCCAGGGGTTGGAAATGATGTGGTTTTAGTGTGGTTATTGTAACACAAAAAATCCATCCCCACTTTAAAGCTTTTCTTGTGTTAAGACTTCCTGTTTTTGAATCTAAAATGTGAAATTCTGCAAGATTATAAATCACTCAAATCCATAGGTTCACTACACAAAAAATAGTATCTGAAATAGCTTGTTTTCAATGTAGTTTCTTGATTTATTGTTAGTTCTCTCACAATATAAAAAAGGAAATGAAAGTAATTACTTATTTAAGCATATGAGACCCATCTCTACAAGGCAATATTTTAAAACTGCCTCTTACTGAAATAAATAGCCAATTAAAGGGTACAGGAAACTGTCCTGTGCTTTTCCTAATAGCTAAAGTTGCTGTTACTGCTTCAACAAGCAATGAGCAGGAGCTTTTTAAAACTACGAGCTGTTAGATAAGGGATTTCAGTTTCTTTAACCAGCAGCTCTCTTTCCAAAATCTTTACCAGCACCTTTTCAGAGGATAGAATTATGTGCCACATACTGCAGAGAGGTGTTTATTGCTTTTAGATATTTTTCTAATTTTGCTAATATTTGTTTTGGTAATACTTGTTTAATATTAAAGTATATCAGTTTGTCCTGACAGTTGATTGGTGGTCCTGACACCATGCTATCCATGGTAATGGTCAAGTCTAAGACGATTTCTGTATTGTCATCATGTTAGATCACAGGATTATGTAGACAGCCTAGTTCTACTGTCTTTACTAGTT